ACAATCTTAGAAATCTGTACACAGGAATACATTTCCATGCATAAGGGCCATTATCCAATCCCTTAAGGCGAAAGCTGCCTATCCTTTGTTTTTGTTCAATTAGATGCCAAGCTCTCTTTAAATAATCATGAACATGAACAATAAAGGAAGCAAGTTTTAAACCAGTAGGAATTCTTACTGTTCTTGTTTAAAAGCAATCTCTCTCCCTTACCATTTTTTCATTACCACTCCCTCTCATTCTTAATATTAGATTGTGGGGCTAAATTTCAATATTTATGCAGAGACACTTGATATTAAATATTACACTCTTGTACTTGGTAGGAGACTTTGTGTTTTCTCTAGTAGTTTAAGTATTGTGTTTTCAAATTTGTTTTAAAGCATTTGTGCACCTTGAAACATGTTAACTAATTGGGTTAACAATTCTTAGTTGTCAAGAACAATTTTTGAAATGTCCTTCTTCCTGTTCAATGTGTGATTATTTCAAGACTGCTTGGAGAGCAGAAGTAGACAGCTCTCCATCAGGAGTACTATGAGAGAGATCTGATCTTTTAAGAGATAGTTAATTGCACACACGTGCAATACCCAAGGTGCAATGAAAAGATAAGACAGCCGTTAAAGGCTGCAGGTGCATGAGTTCTTTTTAGGTTCTGTCATGATTATATTGCCACTTCTGCTTTCACTGGTGCCTTCATGCATTTTATTCTTTTATTTTTGCATCAGTAGGTGTTTTATAGAGCTCTGTGGAGTTTCCTTGGGATACACTATCTTCTCGTTCTCAATGTAAATAGACTTCGAATAAAATAAACCCAACAGTGTTATCTGTGAGCAGCTGCTTAATAAGAATCTGTGATAATCTTATTGCAATGGGAATTGAAATGTATTTGTATTTATAATGTAAGCTCTTCCTTGTTACCTAAGTAAACTTCAGAAATTCTTACTTATTATCAGTGTAAGATAGTCTAAAAGTTTTCTTGAACTCAATCTCTTTGTTCCTGCTGGTATTTGACATAAACCATGTAATGCCTATAATATTAAAATCTGCAAAATCAATTCTCTCTTTTTTGAACAGAGTAATTGATAAAATTCATCCAAATGTAAGCCAGGAAATTAAAAAGGTGCAATGAAACAATGGAATGTAACTAATTGTTCCATTTTATTAGTGAAAGTGTGAAGTTTGTATAAATATAACATGTAAAAGGATGTATATACACATGTGATATTCCTTATTTCTAGTGAGCAACATCAAATTAAGAATTATCTTACTTTTTTTTTTGTACCAGGGATTGAACTCAGGGGTACTCGACCACTGAGCCACATCCCCAGCCCTATTTTGTATTTTATTTAGAGACAGGGCCTCACTGAGTTGCTCAGTGCTTCTTCATTGCTGAGGCTGGCTTCGAACTTGTCATCCTCCTATTTCAGCATCCTGAGCCACTGGGATTATAAGCGTGTGCCACTAGCCTGGAATTATCTTACTTTTCTAATGAATAAATTTTACTTTTGAGAAAACTCCCATCCATATTTCTATATTTCAGCTAGTAATTTTAAAATTAACTTTTCAGAAAACTATTATCATAGATGAACAATTTCTGTAGTAGTGTCAACATTATTAAAAAAAAAAAGATACAAAAGTTGATGTTCAAAGAGATGACCATAGTAGAAAAATTTTACTTTTCCTAAAGAACAAAAACATATTCCCTGCACCTTTTAGGAAGTACATTTTTGTTCTTTATAAAGTAGAAAAAGAACATTTGATTTATGGCTTCATAAATAAGATACCATTATTCTTATTTTTAAAGGCATTTACACATTTTGAGTAGAAATAAAATACTTCATTTTCATATTGTAGTCGAACATTATTTCTGAAAAGGTGCTTTACAAATATCTCAAAAGGCAAAGAATATTTARTAAGAACAAATACAATTTATACCTATGATATTCTAAAATTATCCCTCAAAGCAATGTCAAAATCTTGTGTCTATTTACATTTAGTTACAGCCCCAAATTATATATAATTTATATATAATCATAAATATATATATAACATGTTAGAGATATAAATATTTGCATTATATAATATTTTACAAAGTTAACATGAAAAATTGAAGTTCTAAAAGACTATACTGTGGGTTCTGATTGTAATTTAATATATATCTGTTTTTTAAAATTAATAAAATATGTTACTGGCATCTTCTTATTTACTCAGTAAGTGCATAAAAACCAAAAGTCTTAGTAATCAGAGATAATTTTGACTGGCTTAAGAGAAAAGCATGTTTTGTCTTTATCTTCACATACCTGTGAAACAAGCATCTGTATGTTGTACCATAAATTAACTGGAATTATTTTCTTGATTTTGTTTCTGATTTTATTCATTTATTCAGTACATATTATTGAACCTGTTCTATGTATATGGTATGTACAAGACAAAGGCCTGTCCTCAAGGGGCAATTATTCCACAAACTCATTGAAATTATGATAAGCACAATGTGTGAAATATACAGGGTACTCTGAGAGTGTGTGAGAAGAGATTTCTCCCTTTAATGTTATTATTGTTATTATTGATGTGTTAAGACACATCAATAATAGTTCAGCCAAAGTAAATATATAAGTTGAGTATTTTTGAGTGCCAGTTTTATAAGTTTGATATAAAATATTTTGATTTTATTTCAAGGATAAAAGAGTAACTTCTAGTAGCTCCAATCTGATTAATCAGTATAATTTCATAATTAATGTTAAGGATAGAAAACATTAATGTATCAAGAAATTTTCCTGAATTCTGTTGGTGAATTCTGAATATGTACAAGACACTTATCTTTTGAATCTCAAACCTAATGGCATGTAATTTGCTTTTGAGAGTCTAATATATAGATAGATTTATTTGCTGTCTTCAAGGTGAAAAATATGGATTTCTATTTTATTTAGGTACAATGGGAAAAGAAAATAAATGTCATGATGTGTAAAATAATTCTAAAGTTTTATACATACTCCTATGTTTTTTTTTTTATTAAAAAGTGTCTTAGGTTTTGTGATTACCAAATTGAATACTTGGTCAGTCTCTAAGAAAACATCACCAGAATTGTGAATATATATTTTTTCTTTGGGAAGTTAAAAGTAGGATTAAAACATCATTTAGTATTGTACAATGACAAATGTAAAACACCCATTGGTTGTACATTCTGTGTGGAAGAAACCACTGAGCTACAGCCAGTCTATCCATTAGGTTTTTAAGTTTTAAAGTCTTCAAATCAATACTCCGGGAAGACTGTTTCCTTATACATTATAAGTCCTTGATGGACTTTGCTTAGAACTTTATAAAGAAACAATGCAGGTATTACAAATAAAGTATAACATATTTATTTTCAATGTAGAAATGATCAGTTACAATGTTAGTTACAATATTTATAGTAAGCCTCTTTTCCACTTACAACTTGATYATGCTGTTTGTAAGGAAGAAAAAAAATCAAATTTTAAACCTCTTTCTTGGTAAACAAAATTAACTGTTTTAATTAAATTTGGTGAGCATATTTTTCATATTTCATTCTGTGTAGGCTAATAATTGTTTTGTATAGGAGAAGCTGTCTGAACCTTAATCTCTAAAATCCAGGTTATATCTTGTGACTAAAAGTCAGAAGAACTGGATCGAAAAATCTAGAATGGTTGTGTTATTCATTCAAGATGTCAACTTGGCAAATCACTTGCCCCTCCTGTCTCTTGTTATTCCCATCAGTAGAATGAATCCATTGACCTACTTTAAAGGTTTTCACTCTTTAGCTGCAGAAGCCTCTTGCAGACATAGTCTAATACATAATCTCCACATGAATAAAAATAATAGTAAAATAGAGCTTTTTTTATAGAAGCAATAATGAGGAAGGAGGAAGCAGTGTGCATGTGTGGACGGAGGACCCTAGAGCCCTCACCTGGCCCTTACCTTCCCTCACAACCTGTTGAAGACAGTGAGGGTCATCAAAGAATTTCTCAAGTTCATGGAACGAATATGATCTTTACATTTTTCAAATGTAGTTCTAAATTCATAAATTAGAATTTGTCTGCTAAAGCTTTGAAAATCTTATTATTTACCTTAGAAAAAGAAATAGTATTAAAAATACAAGCTCTCTCTCTCTCTCTCTCTCTTTTCTAAGAAGGATTCTAAGGTACAAATCTAATATGTCATATTAAAGTCATGGACTTAAGTATTCCCTAAAAATAACTCTATAATACCAAATAGTTCATATTTAGAAAATGAATATACAAAACCCCTAATTACCCCTTAACAAAACATCCAGAAAATTGAAGAAGGTCTTTCAGTTGAATTTAAATTTCCTTATTCATGTCTATACTTGACTAGAGAAGTGAGAACATTTGATTTTTTTTTTTTTTTGTAAATTTAAACTCTGAATGTGATTAAATGAGGATTTTTTTCAATTCTCAGCTTTGGTGACCAGAAAGGCAACACTTTAAATTTTGTCAGCAGGCATAGTACACAACTATTAGACCCTTGCAGTCACAGCCATAACAATAAAAAATTAGGCGAAAGAGAGTATGTTCTACAAAGTAGTTAATTGCCCAAGAAAAGTTAAGTCTGCTGGAGAAGCAGGCTTTCACCAGGGGCCATTTTCTTTGCCAGTTACTAGAATGGATTTGATGGTTCTGAAGCAGGAGTAATAGGTTTTCGCTGTGACTAATTTCTGATGTCCTTTATGAGCCAGGATTTCTAACTACCTAAAGTGAAGGRAATGAATAAAAGGAAACTTTCAGTAATCCCAAAAGGACCCAAAGTAAAATTGCCCCAGCAGTTACCTTATATAGGCACCGTGACACAGTTCCCTTTTGTAAAAATACTTGGTAGAGATTATTCCTTTCTGACAGGTTCCTATAGAGACCTACTTTATTACACTTCAGGGAAGTTAATGTACTAGGTCTTGAGGAATCTGTCTGGAACGTGAAGTGACTTGTCGTTTTCTTTTAGTGGCACTGTTAACTCCTGCGTTGTTTTTTTTTAGGTCCATGGGGCCGATGCATGGGAGACGAATGTGGTCCAGGAGGCATCCAAACCAGGGCTGTGTGGTGTGCTCACGTGGAGGGCTGGACGACGTTGCATAGCAACTGTAAGCAGGCTGGAAGACCCAGTAACCAGCAAAACTGTTTCAAAGTGTGTGACTGGCACAAAGAGTTGTACGACTGGAGGCTGGGACCCTGGAATCAGTGTCAGCCAGTGATTTCAAAAAGCCTAGAGAAACCCCTGGAATGTATCAAGGGAGAAGAAGGCATTCAGGTGAGAGAGGTAACGTGCATCCAGAAAGACAAAGACATGCCTGCGGAGGACATCATCTGTGAGTACTTCGAGCCCAAGCCTCTCCTGGAACAGGCTTGCCTCATTCCTTGCCAGCAAGATTGCATCGTGTCTGAGTTCTCCCCGTGGTCCGAGTGCTCCAAAACCTGTGGGAGCGGACTCCAGCATCGGACGCGGCATGTTGTGGCGCCCCCGCAGTTTGGAGGCTCTGGCTGTCCAAACCTGACCGAATTCCAGGTGTGCCAGTCCAGCCCCTGCGAGGCRGAGGAGAGCATGTACAGCTTGCAGGTGGGGCCCTGGAGCTCRTGCTCCATGCCACACTCCAGGCAAGCGAGGCAGGCCAGGAGACGCGGAAAGAATAAAGATCGGGAAAAGGACCGAGGCAAAGGAGTCAAGGATCCAGAGGCCCGGGAACTTATCAAGAAAAAGAGAAATAGGAACAGACAGAACCGACAAGAGAACAAGTACTGGGACATTCAGATTGGATATCAGACCAGGGAGGTCATGTGCACCAACAAGACGGGGAAGACTGCTGATCTGAGGTAACATTCTATTATTGTTAACCACACGTGTCTATCTGTCAAGACCACTGTTTAAAACTAACTTCTGGAATACACACCTATACACACCTGCACAACCAAGTGTGAGCGACCCCTAAGCTTAAGGCTTTTGATCTGTTTCTGTGGGATTCTCCACGTTTCTATTTTGCTCATGTTAAAGGTCCTAAACTGCTTGAGTGCATTCAAACTTTCCTTTCAAAAGTCTAGCACATGAGCAACTCTCCACGAGAAGACACTGCTCAGTTAGGTCAATAGTGCTGTTTCTCTCTAAGATCAAAGAAAACAAATTTACGTAAAGACTGGAGTATAGGGATTTTAAATTTAGATACTTATTTTGGTGTGTTAATAGAACAAGGCACACTTCTAATCTCTTCAAGTTTATAGCATTTTCAAAATTACCCTATTAACAAAATCTGCTCTTAACAATGACCTAGGGAGCTATACCTAAGTATAATTTTCTTGCATATCTTATAAAATGGGGTAACTCTCTCCAGAGAAGAAAACAGGAATCAGCAGGAAATAAGGTAAGTAAAAGGTGTTTAATCATGAGTGGCCTAGCTTAGAAAACATAAWGAATTGGCTGTGTTTCTTAGGTGGAAATTATTTGGCAAATTATCTTTGGGTACATAATGAGTAGATTATGAAAGACTACCTCATTTATGATTTATTTGCTGTGAAAATAAGATTCATTGAGGATTATCTAAAGGATATGATGTTCTCTGGACATTCTCAATTTTGCTCTTGGATAAACCAGACCATCTGGGAGTGGCATATCTGGATCATTTGCATAATTGCTTTTACTGAAATATTTATGAAGTTATGATTTGGACTGAACTGAAGAAATTATAGTATCATTACTCGGAATTTTATATCATATTTATTGTAAAAATGACATTGAGAGTGTCATCTACTTTATCACACAGTCTGTTCTCTTGATTAAAAGCATAAGATAAATTTCACTGAAGTCTCAACCCATATGCTTCTGGTGAACAGCTGGATTGTTTCTCTCATGTCCCCTGGAAACAGATCACATTTTCCTGTTTACTCTGGCTGTTGGGAAGCTAAAGAGGATTGTGTGGCATGTTATGTTGTTTACCAGGCTTTCCCACTAGCTTTATCATTTCTCTAACCCTCAGTATTTTTCCTTTACCCATTCTTGCCTTAGTGATTTTGCTATGTATGGATTTTGAAATATGGAGGAAATCCTTTTTGGAAGAGGATGTAGTTTAAATAAATGAGTAAATAAAACAAGTGGATTAATCTAAGATCAAACTCTTTCTCATAATATCCTGGTTCTAGCTGCTCCTTTTAGAATATTTGCCTTTTTTGTATTCATACAGTTGTGCTTCTTTTCCAACAGTAGAGTACTTTGCTCTTTCTCCATTTTGGTTTCCTCATTCCACTGCCCTGGCCTTGCTAGTGGCTGTTTTTCCTGCCTTCATTCTCCAGGTTCTCACAAACTCTTGAAGGGGTGTGTGTGTGTGTGTGTGTGTGTGTGTGTGTGTGTGTGATGGGCATTTTCCGTGCAAGCCTTATTTTGCTCTTTTCTATTTTTATTCCAGAGATTTTTCTGATTTTTTTTCCTGGGGTTATTACAGTTATATTAGTTACTTGGCTCCTGTCAAGTAATGGAATGAGCCTCCAAGGCAATTTGAGTTGTCTCCTGCTGCCACTGAGTTAGCATGCTGTAGACATGTAATTTAATGTTGACTACTCAATTAAAAGTGTAATTAGGATAGTTAGCTACCATTGTATAGAGCCTAATATTCCCACCCAGTTGTTTGAATTAAGCAAATAAACTTAAAAATGTGCAAATTATTTGTCAGGAGCTTACATCTTATTAGAAATATTGTATGAAACTATAACTCTAAAATGATAGTTACATATATTCTTGACATATTAGGATATGAATAAAACTTTATGTTAAACAATTAAATTGATTATTACAATTTTTCTTTTCTATGAATTATCATGTATGATCAAGAAAATTAAAGCCCTAGTGAAAAAGTGACAAAAACCAGGCATTTGGGCCTATATTTTACTCAAAATTACAGTAAAACATCATGAAGCCAATAAAGTGAAGAGTAAAACAGTAGTGTCACAAAAGCACAGGACCACAAGTCAAGGATTTAATAATTAAAGCATTTGACAGTCCATCACATTCAGAAACACTTCTATCATGTAAGAGGATAAAAAAAAAAAAGTCATTCAACAAGGTTTAAAATGCCCTCTTATAATAACTAAATGAATTTATCCAGATAAACCTAAGGATCTTGGGGAAGCTGTCATAAGTAAATACAGAATTGCTGCTAAAATGCCCAAACTGAAGAAGATAAATCTGCCCTATTTCCTGCTCTCAAACAGACTGAAATCTGTAATAATAAAAAGCACAAATGAAAGCCCATTCTTTTATGACAATAGGAAACAGTCACAGTAACAAGCCACAATTGATACAGAAGATTTGGMAGCATGGTAAAATGAGATCTAACTGAGGGAAGAAACTTAGGGGGGCTTTATGTCTTGCCAGCTTTTGTGAACATTCAAAATCAAGTCAGTGCCACCTCCTTAATGGGGCAGGGAAAGGGGCTGCTGAAACACCCTTGAGTCTGATTATGAACAGAATGTTGGGTAGGCAGGACTGAGCTAGAAAGCCCACCATGAATCATTACCAACTGAAGACTAGCAGCTTGCAGACTGAGGGTTTAACATTTCCACGAGGAATGGAAGAGAATTCTGAATCTCAAAGGCTTGAGAACCAAAGGCTGTACTGGAGCCTTACCCAGGACAAGAGTTAATATGAAAGTGTATTACGCATTTCTCTGGGAAACCAAAGACATTRGGTGAAATGTGGTTTTCTGAACCCAAAGCAGAAAGATTTGAGACTGAGCTAGAAAGCCCACTTTGAATCACTACCCTTTATTCAAACAGAGATAAAGGTCTGGGGAAGTAACTCAGAGGCACAGAACTTGACTAGTACGAGTGAGGTCCTGGGTTCACTCCCCAGCACCACACACACACACACACACACACACACAAAAAAAAACAGAAGATAAGAAAATAGAAAGAACTTAAAATAATTTTGTAGAACTGAGGAAAGAAATAGAGAAGAATTATAAAATAAGGACAGAAACGAAATTCACACAAGAAACAAACAAACAAAAAACAGAAAACGAGTCGTAAGAAGAACCAGTGGTATGAAGAATACTTTGAGAACACAAAGTAAACTATCTTAAAGAATAACTGCATGTAGAAGATTATCATAAAAATACCTTGAAGATTATTTAAAAAAAAATCTGGTGTGCTTGGAAATAGAAAAATTAGGACAAGACAAAACTTATTAACAAAAGACTTTCCAGAAATTAAGGAAGACTTTCATTCATCTGTTAAACTTGCACAGGCCCCAAATTCCACTTAGAAGAAGTTAAAATAATGGCCTGATGGATAATCTGATATAAATCAATTTTGTGCATTTCCTTTGGCAGTGATTCCTCTCCTAGGAATTTCTTCTAAAATATATATATATCTAAATATACAAATATATGTACAATTCTCATTGTAACATGTTATAGAAAGACAGCCTGAATTTTATCAATAAATGACTAGTTAAATCATGGAGATTCCATATGTGGAGTATCATATAGGTATTACCAAATGAAGTTTGTGATTAAACATGAGGGAATAAATGAAGTTTTATGCCCCTCTTCTACGTTGAAATCAGCCAGAAACACCAATAAGGAGATAAACATCTACTGCTCAAAAAAAAAAAAAAAAAAAGGAGGAGGAGAAAAATGGAGAAATGAGTGGAGAAAAAAGGAAATGGAGTGTCTTTATGATAAATGAGGATCCTCTTTCAGGATAAACCCTGAAATCTACAGGATAGACAAGCAGGACCTAGAATATGAAAGCATGAAATGGTGAACCCTATCCAAGATCTTTCTAGTGGGTGATCTCAATAGGGAAGGGGCATGGATGAGCCACAGAGGATGTGAGGAGGTTCCTTAGGAGCCAGCCCCTCATCACTGACTCACAGGGGAAGTGTAGCTATTGGAGAATTAAGGTAAATGTTGTTCCTTAGTTTTCTGGCTAAGAGAAGCTGTTGGAAGTGAAGTGGAGGATGGGCAAAAGGAGGCAGCTATCTCCAGACCATAGCCAGCATAATCCTTGATTTAAAGTGTTGCCATGAGCCATCCCCACCTCTACAATGCTTTAGCTGTCCCATTTCACCTCTAGAATATGCACATAGAAGGCACAATGTGTTTTAGGAAAAAGTCTGAAATCTGCTCAAACACAAAGGCATTTAGTGGAGAGTAGTGCCTACTCTTGAAAATGTCTTCCATTTGAATGCACTTTATTTTGTCACATTGTCTGACAAAGACAATTAATTGTAATTACAAGTCCAATAGAAACACTGCCCAGAAGTGTGGGAAATTCAGTAAATTCCTGAGGGAATAAAACAGAATTAGAATCTTAAAAAGATTTTTGTGGGCTAATCCAAAAGCAGGAGGTCTATGCAGATTCTAAATAAATGCATACAGCAAACACTCGGGCACAAATAAGGAGGGGTGAGAAATGAAGAACAAAATAATTAACCACCCATAGAAATGCTGATACAATGCCTTTTTATTTTTCATTTGCCTTATCAATTTCATTTTTTTCTTTTAAGTACCTATATAATTCCAGCCAGAACATTTCAGATAGTTATGAATGATGCTTCTTAGGTGGCTTTCTGATTATTCTTTCTAGCTCTGATATGATATTCTTGACACACCTTTTCTCATCTTCAAAATTAAAAATTGTTGACCAGAAAATTACATTTCTTCTCAAGACAGTCAACCTCTTTCTGTTTGATTTCTATTTCACCTTAGAACACCAGTTGTTAACTGATCCAAGTTTCTGTTTTAGCATTGCTTTTTAGAATTGTGGTATAAAACTATTGGCACTGCAATAGTCTGAAAATTGGCTGAATTAATGGGAAGAATTAA